GCAACAAAAGAATACTATCCTAAACATTAATTATGGTTTACGACTTCGCAACCGTCTTTGTACAAATGATGTTTAATTATTCTTGAGGTTATTTGCCTTTATTAATCAAATGCTTTAATCTCTTCTTGTGTTGTGATGCGATTTAGTTTTCACAAAATTGTACATGTGCACATCTCTGTGCATATAAGTCTGCATGTTTATACTTGTACATGTACAAAATTGTATATATATATAATATTATTGTATGTATATGGGCCTATGGCCTGAATACAATAAATGATGATGATGATAGATATATGAGATACCTCATTTTTCCAAACACTGTAAACATACTTTGAGACATATTAAAATGACGAAATTTGGCGAAACTGATCATCAAGGTTGAAATTAAAGTGTCAAATGTTCTTAAAGTGAAACACAACACTAGTCTCTGAGAAAATGGCATCACAAATCAGTATATCGTGTGTCCGCCATATGCATTAATGACTGCCGTGCAACGTCGATATATCGAATGCATGAGGTGGTTGATGAATGCCATAGGCACTTGAGCCCACACTCTGAGGAACGCGTGATGCAGTGCAGCTGCAGTTGTCGGCCTTGGCCGGACGTCATTCAGCCGTCTTTGAATCTCGTCCCACAGGTGCTCAATGGGATTTAAATCGGGACTGAGGGCAGGCCACTGGATGGTTCTGATGCCATTCTGCTGGAGGAAGTCTCTTGTTGCTCTCGTAGTGTGGGAACGGGCGTTATCATGCTGAATCTCCTGGTTGCGCCGACGTGCCGAATGAGGTATGGTGTGTGGTCTCAAGACTTGATCAATGTACCGAGCTGCTGTGACACCATTGCCTCTCCCGTGACCGATGTTCTGAAAGACCACAGGGCCGACCCTCTGTGCAAGACCAATTCCACCCCACACCATGATGCTCGGAGCACCCCACGAGTCTCTCACAGCAACACAAGCATCCGAATAACGTTCATCACAGTGTCGCCAAACTCTCTGTCTGTCATCTGCTGTTGAGATACAGTCACGGCTCTCGTCTGAGAAGAGGACTCTTCTCCACTGCTGGTGGCGCCAATGTTGCCCACTGAAGACGGTCCCGGCGAAGACGTGGTGTCAGAATGGGTCCTCGGTGTGGCCTGTGACAGTGGAGGTGTCTGCTCGTCAATCGTCCACACTAATGTGTCGCTGGTGTGTCCCAATGGTCTGTCGAGCAGTTTCCGTAACAAAGCGATCTTGAAGATGCTGTCGCACAATCTAACGATCCTGACGTCAGGTGGTGTCCCTTGGTCTACGTTGTCGGTCATCTGTAGTGTTGGTGGTCTGGTACCGTTGCTGGAGCCTGTATATGGTCCTTACGTGGTTTTGAAATGCATTTGCTACTTGTCGGGCGGTTTGTTCAGCTTGCAATCGTCCAAGGGCTTGGTGTCACTGATTTCTTGTCAATCTTGGCATTTGGTAGCAATTCAATAACGAATGAATTTTATCCGATCTGGGTGGATTTTTATAGGGCAAGAAATGGGGGAACGCATGTGCATTTGAACGAAATTGTGCATCGGGTTACCATGACCGTTGCCTTGATGCGTTTGGGCGATCGGTTTTATTGACATCTGTTTTGTTTTTTTATCATCAAATTTCATTTTTTCCGGACAAGGTCATGTTAAATCATGCCAAAAAATACCCAGATATTTAAATGACAATTTTTCATGCAGTGTTACTTGGGGTGTCGTTTCTTTTGCGGTTCAGTATAGATATCATAGGTCATCAAACCTGTGGTCTTAAAACTGGATATGAACAGACCCAATGCCGAGCTGTTTGTGAATGATGCCTCAAAATTTTGAAATGTCGTTGTCACATCTGCCATAAAGCGTTTGAAAACCAGACTCAAGCCTTGAATGATTAAACAACTTTTGAACAAGACTCTTTAAATTCTTCGTTGAAAGAGTCCGCTCAATTGTACTTCAACAGTTCAGAAATGTAGACAACAAAGGCTGGAACATTAGTTTTATGGATATTTTTTTGTCACTCAGTTTACATCACCGTCAGTTCCCCCTTATAGTTATGACCGAGCTGGCTACATCAAGTGATTGACAGGGAATATACACGGGTTCTCAAGAGCACTAATTAGATCCATCTCCGCGCGGTACACTCAATCAGTGCATATCCAATCTTCTATATATTTTTGATGTCCAAAAGGACACTATCATGACCGTTGTATCCTCATAGTGCCACTGGAAGTTCTTTACTAAACATTTAGGTAACAGAAAGACTTCATGAAGAGTTGGAGACTGACAATAATCATTGTGCATCTAGGGTCACCCTAGGCATAACGACGCCCGTAATATAATAGTTGTTAGAGAAGAATGTTAAATGTGTAAAGAGACCTCAGGGCGGAGGACTATCACCGCTTGTGGCATTGTATAAAACTCTGTATGATATAAGTGTTTGTCATCATGTTTGTGACAATGTTATATGAGATTTCTTGTATAAGCATCTGACTGCGACTGCCATAAGCATCTGAGTGTGCGACTTATTGTATGACAGTGTGTCATCTTTTATCAGTGTATGACTTTGTGAATGAGGGGGCAGTGGGGTAATCTGGTGGTTAAAGCGTTCGCTCGATTCCCCAAATGGGTGATGAGTGAAGCCTATTTCTGGTGTCCCCCGCCGCGATATTTCTGGACTATTGCTAAAAGCGAGGTAAACCCATACTCACTCACTCAAATTATGTATGAGTATGTGTAATACTGTATCAGTGCGTTTCATATTGTATGAATGTGTCATCTTGCATGAGTGTGAAATCGTGTATGAGTATGTGACATCTGGTATGAATCGGTGACATCCTGCATGAGAATGTGATATCTTGTATGAGCGTGTGACTATGCGACATAATACATGAGTGTATGACATATTATATGAGTACGTGACAAACTGTATGAGTGTATGACATCTGGTACCAGTGTGTGACATACTGTATGATTATGTGGCATCTCGTATGAGCGTATGGCATCTGCTATCAGCGTGTGTGTGTGTGTGTGTGTGTGTGTGTGTGTGTGTGTGTGTGTGTGCGTATGGCATCTGCTATCAGCGTGTGTGTGTGTGTGTGTGTGTGTGTGTGTGTGTGTGTGTGTGTGTGTGTGTGTGTGTGTGTGTGTGTGTGTGTGTGTGTGTGTGTGTGTGTGTGTGTGTGTGTGACATCTTGAATGAGAACGTGACATACTGTATGAGTATGTGATATCTGGCATGAGTATGCGACATCAAATATGAGGGTATGGCATTTTATATGAGTATGTGAGATCTCGTATGAGTGTATGATAGCTGGTATCAGTGTGTGACAATCTGTATGAGTGTGTGACATCTTGAATGAGAATGTGGCATACTGTATGAGTGTGTGTCATCTTTTATGACTATGCGACATAATATATGAGTGTGTGACATCTCGTATGAGCTTGTGATATCTTGTATGAGTATTTAACATCCTGTATGACCGTGTTGCATCTATGTAGTATGTGTCATCCCGCATGAGTGTTACGTCATGTATTAATGTGTGGCATTCTGAAAGAGAATACGTCATCGTGTATGAATGTGTGTCACCTTATAAGAGTGTGTGTCATTCTGTGTGTGTGACATTCTGTATGGGTGTGTCGTCATGTACAAGAATGTCATTCTGTAAGAGTGTGTGTCATTCTGTGTGTGTGACATTCTGTATAGGTGTGTCGTCATGTACAAGAATGTCATCGTGTAAGAGTGTGTGTCATTCTGTGTGTGTGACATTTTGTATGGGTGTGTCGTCATGTACAAGAATGTCATCCTGTAAGAGTGTGTCATTCTGTGTGTGTTACATTTTGTATGGGTGTGTCGTCATGTACAAGAATGTCATCCTGTAAGAGTGTGTGTCATTCTGTGTGTGTGATATTCTGTATGGGTGTGTTGTCATGTACAAGAATGTCATCCTGTTAGAGTACTAGTGTGTGCTATCTTGTAAGAACACTATATCTACTCGTACGAGCCTGTGCCATTCTGTTAGGTGTGACATCCTGTATACATGTGTGAACCAACCTGTACGTGTGTATCATCCTTTTTGTATATATATATTATCTACCTTCATTATTGCTATTGTGAATAATTGCTACTTAAAGCTACTGTAGAGCATTACAAACAGTACTCTCCAATTTAGCCCATTTGGTTTTAAATAAACAATTCGTTGGCAATTACAGTGAAAACTATCCATCGTGATGTTACCGTTTCGAGGTTAATCGACTGAATAAAAAGGTCGGGATTACTACGGTATCGTGGTTTAAAATTTACTTACGTTCTCAAAACAGATATATGCAGGCAAAGGATTGTATGAATAGCTTTATTCATAACTTAACTCTTAAGATCCTAATATATGAAGTCAGATGTTTGACTACATATAATACAGGAGTTGCCAAATACGGGAAGCATCAATAAAGAGATGTGAAAATTGCGTTTTGTAAATATGTTCTCAGTCACATCGAAATTCGTGAATGAATGAATGTTCTTTGTTTCTTACAGATTAGTGATGTCTCTGTGTCTCATTCCTGTCTATGATTCGATCATGAGTAAACCTTTTAAACAGTGTTATGGTAGACACATGGAGGTCATTACCAAGTTTGAGGCATCAGTAACAAAAATGAACGATGATGTGACAAAAAAAATGTCTGATGCAATTTCCTTTTTTGACTAGTACCATATGTTCACGTGCTTTTTCGGGTGAAAAACTGACCTGTCATTGCATGTGTTTGTGACAGGTGCCATTGATGGGACAGGATACACTCACCTTTATTCGAACATCTGGTATCATCACTGTTTGATATTGATTCATAAACACATGCTCATGATGTAGTCGGAATCGTACAATAGACTCTTCCTTTAGCAGATATTTCTTATTATTATAGAAAAGGTTTTGTCGTTTCTATTGAAAAAATATGGCTTAGGACATATATGTTGTATGTAATTCAATGAGTGAAAAAAGTCGGAATGCAGTTTGACAACTTTTTATTGCAGAACATATGACACATGGTGCGATCCGAGAATCTAATACTTCCGTCTGTCTGTAGGTGCTGTAGCTGTCAGGTGCATAGGGAAATACATTTTAACATGTATGCGTTTGCTTCATTAAAAATGTGCAAAAAGCGTCTACTCTAAATAATAACTGATAAGGGTTTGAAGGCAAACCAAGCTTGGCATCTTGTAGTGCTGGGAGTATGAATCTGAGATTCTATCAAACAAATATACAATGCAGTCGTTCTTTGCTCACATGAGATCAGTAAAGTCGAGGGAGGTCCACTGGATAATTGTTAATTTAGAATTGTCCGCCAAGGAGCCAGAAAGGAAGAGCACTGTTCATTCCTGTTGATTGACCGCCTTGCATACCGCCTTGCATACCGCCCTGCATACCGCCTTGTTGTCCCTGGCCTCTTCCCTGATTAAGGAACATCCATGGGAGCATGTTGTTCATTTCACCGCCGCTCAGAGCCATGGCCATCATTGGGTTAAATCCTTGACCACCACGGCCGCCTCCCATTCCACCCATACCGCTGAAGAGAAGCATGTTCATCATGTTGTCTCCTAGTCCACCATTCATGGCGAAGTAAGGAAGCATGCTGCCGCCCTGTCTTCCCATCATTTGAGACATCAAATACATGTTTCTTCCCTTGTCACCGCCCATCATCAGAGGAAGCATCATGTTGCTACTAGAAGAGCTTTGAGACTGTCCAGAACCTTGACCATTCATACCTCCCATCATTCCACCCATATTTGCCATTGCTGCTCCCATTGGCCCCATTCCCATACCCCCGAATTGACTACCCATACCGCCGTAAGGACTTCCCATGCCATACCCGCTATTCATACCCATACCGGCCATCGGATAATTCATGCCACCCATTTGACTATTCATGCCAACCATTGGATTAGTCATACCACCCATTGGATTAGTCATACCCCCCATTGGATTAGTCATACTACCCATTGGATTAGTCATACCACCCATTGGATTAGTCATACCACCTATTCCACCCATTCCTACACCCGTACTCCCTGCACCATTTGTGCCGCCTGTGTTGCCCGTGCCTTGGGGGTTTGTCATTCCAGTTCCCATGACAGCTGGAGTTTGTGCTTGAAGAAGAAAACAGCACACGATTTAGGAATATAAGTGTATATTTTTCAATGTTTGCAACAAAAGATTAAAGAAATACATACAAAATCGGTTTTTGTAATTCATTAATTATAATCATGATAGAAAATAGAGTCCTGCCTTCCCTTATTATAACTAGAAATTGTGTTGCACCTGTTTTGCAAGGGCTAGGCTACTTCATTCTACACAAGCTCTTATACCATCAATTATTTAATAGTATACTCAAATTAATTCCTTTTAGTTATTTGTTTATGAAACGTATTCCCCCGTTTAAATGAGATAATGTATCGAAGTACTCAACGTGCCTGATGCCATCATTAATGTGTTCCCATTGGACTCCGTCGTAACAATGTGAATGAATATATACGGAGTGTGCATAACCTGCCCTTTCCTTCCACGATATAATGCATTTCGTAAATTTAATTATCAATTATCGATAATGTTATTAAATAAATAGCGCTATTTATAAATCATTTCAAAGTGTATTAGTTATTTGTTTATGAAATGTATTAGATGAGAACCTGGTTCTAATAGACTAGGATTGTATCGAGAAAAAGTCATTGATTACATATAAAAAGTTCTCACCATTGGTAGCGACACAAACCAGAGCCAGAACAGCAAACTTGAATGCCGTCATTTCTTCTGAAACAGATATCAGGTGGTATCTTAATGTAAATATTGTAAGAAACGTCTGTTGTGGGTTACCTCATACCTCAACGGTCTTTTGTATCATGTGAATGGATTAACAGACAAATGTTCAGTCGATACCAAGGATTCGAGATCGCCTGTCTCATACAGAACACATATGATTGTGAAGGAGTACATTGAAATAGTACTAGGTTTAAATAAAACATGATACATACGACACAACTCGTATTGTAGTTGCTTAAGATAAATGGGGCCAAATGCAATTATAGAACGTACAAACAAATAACAAAACAATAGAAGCAACTCACCTGCTGTAGTGCTCATCGTGTGGAACTGGAGGAAGAGTGTGTTAAAGAGAGGCTATCTACGGTTTATATAGCCAACACGGGTGTCAGGACTCTGAGTATAATCTATTGTTCTTGACAGGGTGATTCATTAATTACCTGGACACAGTCCATCACATTCGAATGTTATGTCAGTGACAGGGGACATGCCTTTGAACAAGATACATCTGTCCAGTGAATGTGATGTATAAGTCATCATTACGTATCCTTGTTACATTGTCACATACCACAGGGGTGAGACAAAGGCCAACACTATTGTGTGTCCTACTGTCTGTGTATGTTGAATAAATCATACAGATAGGGTACATTTGCTGAGAAACCGATGTGTTAGTAGTATATATTTCATTTAAAAACTTCTTTGACTGCTCAGCATACATGCTGTGGCAAATTGTCGTAGTACATTGTTCTAACTACACTCCATAGACTGCATTTTCTGTAAATAAACATATTATACTGTGAGACAGAGATAGACGCTGTGATCACTGATATTCTACAAGCTGTGTAAAACAATTCCTGATACCATACATGTCATAGCCAATTATATACGTCTTACAGCTGCTTCATAATTTCAATTAAGACTATCAAGCATATTTGTTAATGTGCACTGAGACATAAATTTTGTCAGTAAAGTCAGTCATTCCGAATCCAGAGGAGCGGGTAGCATGCAGTCCTACCATTCCTTCCTGACCTCGTCATCACTGATTCATGAATGTACACTGGTACTGATTTCTTCTCGTATGACTAACACAAAAGGAAGTAAAACCAGAATCACATTCATGTTACATAAGTGGGCTTTCAGTGAGTATATAAATTGTTTTATCAATCTTGGATTATTATCTGGTATCTGTTTGATTCAACCATTCATTGTGAAAATATACTCGTTCACCCAACTTAAACATCTCTGGTGAGCCCTTGAGTTAGTGACTTCCCTGAGATACTCATGACTACAATATCGTGTTTCTATCACAAAACTAGTCTAAATGTAACGCTCTTCTTCGTATTGCGATACTATGTACTATGTAATCTAATGAATCAGGTAGATGAACGTATCTTCATAATAAATCATAAAGTTTAGTTCGGAATGATGTATTAAATAGAAAATGTCTTAAGTACAAAGTAATAAACATAGATGGAAGGGGACACGGATGTACATCACCCAGCGTTGACATAAGATGTGAGCGGGTTTACAGTCGTATGGAAGGACAAAGCCGCATAATCAACACTTTGACAGAGGACAACATGTGTTTTCAAGGAGCATGTGTCAACTATACTACTAATGTTTTCTATGGCATTTTAGTTGTCAAGTCTATTTTGTTGATACATTATACAATTCATTTGCTCTTCCATGTACCTTCCGTCATACCTGTTTAAGCTATAATTAGTTTTATTACTGTAAGGTATGTTTGTTGTTTAACGCCGCACTCGACATTATTTCAGCTATATGACGACGGTCTGTAATAAACAAGTCTGGACCAGAAAATCCAGTGGTTGATATCAAGAGCATCGATCCACGCAATCACGCAATAGGGACACGGTGACTTGCAATCAACCAAGTCAGCGATCCTGGCCACCGATCCATTTAGTAGTCTCTTACTACCAGCATGAGAGACCTGAATTCTTACACGGAATCCACACGAGTAAGTAAACATATACAGAAAGTTTGATGTATAAGCTGGCAAAATCAATTCGTTTAATACTTGAACCAATACATACTAACTGTTCGTCGGCATTACAAAAGGCGCACGTCAGTGAATAATTACAAAACATGTACATATGTCTGGAAACGCTAGTCCCAGAAATGGACATACTCGCATGTCTACAGTGTGAAAAAGAACCTGAAGAATCTCACAACCAGTCTTATCTTTGAATATTATTGTGCAGTCAAACTGATTAACGCGACAAAGCGATATGGTCAACATATACGGCTAGTTTGTTTGTTTGTTGCTTACCTTTCAGAAATATTCCAGCTATATTACGGCGGTCTGTAAATAATCGATTCTGGACCAGACAATCCAGTGATTGACGTCATGAGCATCGACCTACGCAATTGGGATACGTTAACATGCATCAACCAAGTCAGCTGGCCTGACCAACCGATCCCGTTATATATAGTAAGTCGCTTCTTACGGAAAGCATGGTCGCTTTTACGGCATGCATGGGTTGCTGAAGACCTATGCTACCCCGGATCTTCACGGGTATACACCACTGGTGATATTCCGGTACGCACCGATTATGTTTTGGGGTTTGTCAGCGCCCTACCGGTGCTCGTGGGTTTCACCAAAGAGGTAAAGGTCTGAGAGATGTATGACTTCGGAATTCCCTCCAACAACGAAACACTCCAATACTGCTAAAAACAGCGTTAAACTCAACTCACTCACTCACTGGTGACCTTCGTGGTATTTATTTCGCACCAATAGTTGCAGTCATAGTGAAACACAATACTGACCTAGTTTATTATGTAATGGCAGAATATATATAGGATATTTAATGATGGTTATTAAATTAATTCGTGATCAAACCACGACCACGAGAATTCGTATACGATAAGTAAACAGCTCCTTATTTATAACCCAACGAAAATTAGAAATACACATTGCAAACATAATTCACACAACCATAATGAAGACAAACATATTTCCAATTTGTTGTAATAATATTTAATAGTATAAAGCGAAAAGGCGACAGTGCAAAATTAGTCACGCGATATTGGGACAAGTCGATCGGGCGACATTGCAATATTGCTCAACTGCCATTTGCAACTGAAGCAAAAGAGGGTGTGTAGAGTCATAATAAACATACACTATTAATAGCTATCCACTTATTCCATGTTCAGGAATTGTTTTGACTGACTTAGTGGTAAGTAGGAGTCATAAACCAATACGAATCGTATAAACCAAGCACACTGAATTAACAAAAGAAAACACCTGACAACCTAAAATTGTTGTAATTCCATTACTCTAGATTGTTCAATTTTAGCCTCAAGACCAAAAGCAATTTATATGTGTATTTGGTATTTGATTGGACTAAATACAAACTCTTAATTATCACCGGATCATACAAATTAGGCTGAAAGAATCAAATCATTACGTTCTAGATAATTATGATGTAAAGTCACAAAGGGTGTAAAAAGTCAAATTATTAAATACCCCTAAAAAAAGAAACGCATACTTATTTCACAACCAAATTCTTGATGAGTGATGACATACTGCAACAGCGATGCAGTGAGTGAGTATAATTTTAAGCTGCAATATTCCACAAATATGACGGCGGGGGACACCAGAAATGGGCTTCACAACATTGTACCTATGTGGGAATTGAACCCGGCTCATCGGCGTGACGAGCGAACGCTTTAACCCGACCGCCCCAACAGTGACACAGAACGAGTGTCTGATATCCAATTTAAAGATTATGCCATTAGCTTTAAGTACAGCCTATTATCTCATGCCCATTGATGAAATAAGAGCACGAAACCCACGTTTGAGAGTACTCGTCCTGTTGTGCAAAACTGTCGTCTAAAGTCTGTGGTTCAATAAGGACCTTACATAGTGGTATTGTTGCTCTTACAGATGATGTGTGCGGTCCAGCATTGTCGTGTTGAAAGATGACGTTAGCATGATTCATAGTGGGAGCAGTACGATTTTATCACAATAGCGCTGGACAGTGAAGTTGGCAGTAGGTTTGTTCGACCGGTTTGGGAGAATCCGCATACTTCATTACGTTACCACTGTCAGCTCTGTTGACTTTCCGTCTTCGGTACACCCTGGGTCTCCCATCGGTTCAGCGCAGCATAAATCGTTGAACTAAACGTTGCTGAACCAAATACTGCATCGACCATGCGCTGCCTGCTTGACACCATTGAAGTCACAGTTGACGTCCAAACATCACGTGTTTTGAGCGTCTGCCAGGAGAGTGGAAGCTCAATGGTTCGATCAAACTAATGAAGGTAATGGCACTTTAGGGAATGAAACAAAGAACTGGCATTCTTCGGAGTATAATGGCTTAGTGGGATATCCGTGTGAATTTTTAGTGGACTGGTACCATAAAACTCCAATTATTCCGGACAAGTACAAACTGCAACACACAGACACACACAATATATATATATATATATATATATATATATATATATATATATATTTATACACGAGTGATTAATCTGTCACGATTAGAACGAGGCTTTGCCGAGTTCTAATTGTGGCAGACTAATCACGAGTGTGTAGATTTTTCGGTAACACCCGAACACAGTGGTTAATCCTTTTTCTCCCATAACTATACGCCATAAAAAGTCGAGCTCGCAGTTGAAGATTTCCCGTGTTTAGTAACCACTCGGGATTCTCCCCCAGCCTCGTTTTCGAATATGCTCAGTAAGACAACTGCACCATAAACAGGTAAAAAGGATCTAGCGAAGACAACTCACACGAGTTTTCCGTGACAGGCAAGCCACTTGTTAGCATTCATGTTATGTTTTTTGTTAACTATTAAAAGCTGATGGGAGTAACGTTTTGAGAATTAGTAATGTGATTTTATATTTGTTAATGGTTTTGGATTACTCGGCCCATAACTTTATTTGCATTCGTCTCGCCGTGACTATCATTCTCAATGCGCACCCCTTAATAGGCCCACCTTTTCAGTGTATGTAAATACGTTATTCGTTTATTTGTTCGCTAGAAACAAATGTTATAAAACCAATTAAGAGGAAATTAAATATTGTCTTACATGTGAAATATTGTTGACGAAAAACAAGGGCCCAAAGGAACTGTCAACAGGATTGATCAGGCAAGATTCTATAAATACCAAATCAGGCAACTGATCAGCTGATTACATCTTCTCAAATCCATCAATGGATTGTAATATGTTTGGACGAATTTTCCTCTTTAAAACTAATTTTACAGTGAATAATTTAATATGTAAAATGATGATTATTTCATGTCATCTTTTTTTGTTTTTTTTTTTGTTCCTGAACATGGTGAGCACATGTGTTTTAATTATATAAAAAAACCTTATTCAGTGGACAATGTTTCTTTTGAACATAATATTTAACATCATGACACCAAAAATGTAACTAAATGAGTCATCTAATTTCCCCATATTTGTGAATGACAAGAAACAATGTGAATTTGACAAGCACAATAATTTATTGTGTGTGAAACATAAATACATAGGATATATGTAAACAATAAATTATCATTTCAGTAGTTCTACAAATATTTGCATTTTCATACCCTTGTAATTTTACATTGTTATTTTACTGCAACAGTTACCTCCAAACTTTATTCTTTTGTTATTTTATGAGATTAGAAGATAAGACTTACTGATAATAGGTAATTTAAAATTAACATTTTCTTCTTTTTATCTTCATGAAAACAAGACATAATAAAAAATATGTATTTTAGTGACCTGTTCATATGTGATTATTTTGGTAAAAGTATTAAAATTAAAATTAGACATTGCTAAAGTAAAGAAATGAGGTTTATGGTAAAATGTTATAAGAGGACCTCTTGTTGGTCATTTCTTCATCACTCATAAATAAGAGTTTTTCTTTACTTACCATGTTCTGAAAATTTACACATTAGAATAATTTAAGGTCTCTGATTAAAATAGCGACACAGCTTTCCACTCCTAGGCAGCCAATTAGATTATGTGAAAAACATAAACCACTGTAAACCTTTTAATGGGAGAATAATAAATAAAAATACATTTCTTATTTTGTCTTTGTGTCCAGTTTATCTTCCCAAGAAATGCTAAATAATTATCATTAAAATTAAGCTAGCTATGCATATTGGGGCTCTTTATCTTCTGGGATAATATAACAATTGCATTATTAAAGAAGTGGTTTTTTTTCAGTAATCATGGTAAATAATAAATCTTTGGTTTAAAGAATATACTTGAGATAAACCTAATTCTACCTAAAACTAATAATATGAAACTCATTTTTAGATTATTTCATCCTATCTAAAATACAAAATATATTTTAAGATGCATAAATGTACATCATTGTTGATTTTTTAAAATTGTTTTTGAAGAAAATACCTAATAAGGTGGATTGGTGCCCACCATCTTTATCTTTATCATTTTGTCTGCTCCCTAAAATAAATCAAAATTGTTCAGAAAAAAATATTAATACATATATTACTTTCTGGAGTTTATTCAGATTTAGGTATGACTTAATACATTCAAGTTTAAACGGGGTAATGTTGTTTTTTCATGACGAGTTTCTTAAATGTCCTGAGCTAGTATGTTTAAATAATTGAAGTCTTCATGTTTAAAAAATACCAAATAATTATAGGCCAAAATACATTAATTATATTGATCTGGATAAACTCCACCTGTTGAAATGGGAAACAACTGCTGTGGTTGCAAAACATCTTGGTCGTGAGATGTACGGTCCGTCCGTAAGATTGATCGTTTCCTGCATTAAAATTGAGTATTGCTTTAGATCCAAATTATCTGAGTGTTTGTATTCTTGAAATATGAAATTTAAGTCTCGATTATTTTAATATAACAATAAAATATGTTTTTGATCGATCGGCTCTAGATCAACACTTCGTTATAACGTGACATTTCTTATGTGGTTGATAGTTATTATTTTTAAAAATACCAAACAATATGGTTTGTTTCACTATTTCATCGCTATTTAATTAACTGTTTCATTAGCTTTGTTATTGGCCTTGAAAACGCCCAGTAAAGAATGTACCGGAGTTGCTCACCTGGTCCCGTAATATCGATGCGGTATCTCGCTTCGGTTACGGTCTTCTCATTATGCAACTGAATCTGGTACATTGGGAAGCCGAAATTCTTTGATATATCTCCACACATGACACGCTCAGTTTTATTCCCAGCATCAGAAGTGATTCTTTTGGGAAGTTTCTATTGGGAATTGTTCAGCCAAAATATTGGCCAAATGTAGGAAGAGGAGACCTGTTGAGAAGTCTGTTGAACTCAAGCTATATATACACTGTTTTCCTGGCACAGTCAGCTCTTTCATAGATACTATTCCACTCCGCCCAGGAATGGCACATTTAGCGGTGGCTATTAAACTCTCAACATACAATATTGACTAGTAGAACACGAGCACGGGTATGGAGCTGACACACCTAGAAAGACTTTGAATTTTCTATTTCAAAATACAGCATTGTGCCAAAAACAAATCCGAAAGAAATATATCTTACAGCAATTTGCTTATACGATAAGCCGTGTTAGTTCTATTCTTTCACATGCACAGTTCAGTTCAGTTCAGTGAGGGAAACCTGTTTATCGATACACTGGTTCATACTCCTCTTCATGTTGCCTCTTAAACTGTCTAAGGTAGAATGGGGGTAGATTCCACCATGTCACGCTCATCGTGTCCTTCCCTCGCGTAAGACGTTCAGGCTGCACCCTTTCAGCATTGTTCTTCATGAGCTACCAGACATTTCCACTGGGAATAAAATCAGGTGAGGCTGCAGGAAAATATATCACATGCAACGAAAGCTCTTGGGATCGGCATTGACCTCCCGCAGCACAAATGAAATGTCACTTTGTCCCATGACAGAAGCGTTTTGTTAGTGAGTGGCATTTGACTTTTGTCTTTGTAAAAAAATATGTTTCAGTTTAAACGTATTTAAAATGTATTACGTTCACAAATGATACTATGGTTGTATATATACTTGACTTCCCATATTGATTACACAGCGGTTATGAAGATTTTCTATCTAATGTTACCATGAATGCCTGGAGTTTGTTTCTACTTTTTTTTATTTTTCGAATTACGTCACCCGTTCACAGTTCACTTGTATAAACAACACTTGACATATATTTGTAGATATAAATTTAACTTTCAGCTATGTACTGCTCAACATTTCTAAGGTCAAAAGTCATGGTTTAGTCAATTGTGTGGTCCTCAACAAATGTTAAGTAGTATACAGACAAGTGTAAATTGCTTTCTTGTTCTTTTAGAGCCTTGCGTTTAGATCACTTGATTGTCTGGCTTGTTTGCAGGCAGCTGTCGCATGGCAGGACTACTGCTGTGCGGCGTCAGGCAATAGATATTTACTTTTTATGCAAATTGTGTGAATGGCGGCTGCTACCAGTGGGGTAGAACATGGTTACTTTTTTGGCGAGCGCCTGTTGCCATCACTGATTTTCAGTAGTCCAGTCATATAATTTACAACGCTATTTTGTCCTTTACGCGAAATTGAAATTTTTTCAGAGGATAATCTAGGCCGAGTATTCTTTTGCACTGTCAATTTATATTAGGTTCCTCATAAAAATACTGTTAACCTATACATAAAGTTCGAAAATGGTACAATGGACTAAATGGTAATTATCGAAACTATCACCTTAGACTAAGAACGTTTGTGGCAGACTTTCCAATCAGTTTGAAAATACTTCACACGTAACGATTACAGAACTCAATTACAGATGATGTTATTTCACATGTCTAGACCGATACGAATCTGGAATTCGATCCCAAATTCAGCGTGTCGCTGATGTCACGTGATTGCCACGAAAGCAATTCTGGATATTGAATAGCGGCGCCTGAAACCGCGGGACCACCTGTGTCCTCTGTTAATTCAAAAGAATGAGAACGTACAGCTAAGGCAACTTAATATATCTTGTTGAAGGTGTTACATTTTCAGACCTAACACTATTTGTGACGTTTCCGTAATGGTAGGATAAAGAGTGACTGGGATAAATTCAGTCTCTTTTTTTAAATCTTGGATTCCACGTTACCTTTGATGTAAAATCTCTAGCAGAGATAAATCACATTTCATTATTTGTAATTAATCATAAGCGTTTCGTGCAGGAATCAGGCAACAATTAAACAGCTGAACGTAATATATTCCTGGTATTTATTAGTGATAAACAAACAACATGAGGTGGACAACAACGGATAATGCTGGGGAATTTGTACAATTGTTTGGAAGTGTCATGGGCCCACAAGCATTGCAGTAATACCAACAAGAGCTTTGATTATGCACAGAACATAAATACCAGAATGCTGTTGAAATATTTTGATTCCATACACAGTGATAAGATGTTTCTGCAGGATCGTCTCCATTATTGTAAATGGGTAAAGAGTGACATCTTCGGTTAAAGAACTTTTTAGATATGTCTCGTCTTTCTTAAGACGGCTTATAAATACACAGAATATGCTCATCCCAATGTCTGTTAACTAATAACCGTAACTGTTAACTGATAAATAAAGTCTGATATTTCTCTGTCACCATTAATTTAACTCCTTAGGAACCCATGTGTGAACTTCTTTGATTTAGAGGTTTCCTCCTAGCAGCCAGAAAGGCAAAGCACTGTTGACTCCTTGTTGTTGTCTTTGTCCACCTGGCATACCGCCTTGCATACCGCCTTGCATACCGCCCTGCATACCGCCTTGTTGTCCTTGGCCTCTGCCTTGATTAAGGAACATCCATGGGAGCATGTTGTTCATTTCACCGCCGCTCAGAGCCATGGCCATCAATGGATTCATCCCACCCATCATTCCACCTCGGCCGCCACCCGTTCCACCCATACCGCTGAAGAGAAGCATGTTCATCATGTTGTCTCCTAGTCCACCATTCATAGCGAAGTAAGGAAGCATGTTGCCGCCGCCTTGTCTTCCCATCATTTGAGACATCAAATACATGTTTCTTCCCTGGTCACCGCCCATCATCAGGGGAAGGTATGACATCGGGTTTCCATACCCTTGTTGCTGGCTCTGTTGCATTTGCTGGCCATAGGGACCCATGCCAAATCCTCCCCTTGGTCCACCCATTCCTCCGTAAGGATTCATGCTTCTGTAGGGGCCTCCCATTCCTCCGTATGGAGAACCCATGCCGCCCATCGGCCCACCCATCGGCCCACCCATACCCATCGGACCACTCAAGGGACCACCCATACCCATCGGACCATTCATAAGACCACCCATTGGACCACTCATGGGACCACCAATAGGGCCGCCCATTGGACCTGTCGGTAAGCCTGTTGGAGCCCCCATGGCTCCTCCAATAGCTCCAGTTGGCGTTCCACCGGATGGAGCAGCCACAGCCGTTGGATCTGTCACACCTTGGGCTGGAACATATTTTGAGAATGACTCTTGTCAGAAAAACAACGAAATTTAATAATAGTAAACCACTTCACTAATTCTGGGATGATTTCAGCGTTGTGAAAGTATAATAAGAAGATATCAAACAACCATAAACTCCATTTTAAGATAATTGCATACATTACATAAGATGTTAAGGTTATTTACATAACGATCAACTTCTGATATCAAGAGAAATATGAAACAAATCGAAGATTACTTGAATGAATAAATAACCAGTTTAGAAATATGTAACGTCAACCACAAAGACTAACCAGTCTCGATTATCTGCCGTGACGGATTTTAATTGGCGTAAAAGGCGAAATAGTTAAAATTATACGAATGGATCACTGATGAATCAGAGACGACTCCAGGTCTTTGCAAAAAGGTAAGAATGACCTGCTCTGCCGGCAGCACCCGCCACTCACACAATTTGCATAAAAATGTAAGTGTTGATTTTATCGCAGCAGGCACGAGTAAAGCAGACAGACAAGTATACATGTATGAATTTCCTTCTGCATATTACTCATGTCGGTAATATTGAAATGAGTACCATGGCCAATAATAGCAGTCTAAAAGCAATGCATTCATCACAACTATTCATTCCCCGTAGTTTACGATTTTCCTTGAAATTAAAATTCTATTTGCGAGAAGAAAATGTAATTTATGAATTTCCTTAAGATGACCCTAATTCATCTTCAGCCTGATGTATGTATAATTTAAATGGGTACAATGACAAATGTGCGGATGTGAGAAACCTAGATATAATCCATCACGTCCAAAGTCACAAAGGACGCTTCAGTATCTGTAGGAAGGACCCTTTTTCCGCATTACATAAATTTACATAACCCCAAAAGTGGTGAGAAATTTCATTGAATCTCAAAATGTCTTTGGTCAGGAAAACAAACTCAGAAACTGATAAGATTAGAACAATAACAGAATTGCTATGGGAATACGTTTATGCTGCCCATTAGGTGCGAGGTTTTCATCATAACAGTCAACTCTCTAAAACAAGTAAAACGCAGAATATGTGTAACTGAAAATGCAACACAGGTGAATTAACTTAACACTATAGCGTCTCTTTTTTGTTGAAATGTTGTCGCAATGCATTAAATATTAACTCACTCACTCATTATATATGTGTTTGCTGTTTTACGCCGTAATCAGCAATATTCCAGCTATATCACGGCTAATTGTAAATAACCGAGTCTGGATAAGGCAAATCAGTGACTGAAAGATCGAGCAACAATCCGACGCCGTTGGAAAACGTTGGCACGCAACATCACCCACGTCACAGACCCTGACTAATGACCACTCGGTCCCATTTTGTTGCTCTTGCGAAAGCAATAGTGAATAAGTTTAAATTGAACATATACTCCTATCTTAACGAGTCGCGGAAAACGCATCGTTATTGGCATACACGGTGTGTATTATATCGGCGAAGGCGTCCAAGAGAAAACGTCCTACAAAACAACCTAATTCCCTCCGTACGTTCTTTGCGTAAGTTGGAAAGTCAAACTTCGATTCTAATTCAGAGATGGTTTGTTGGACGCTTTAGATATTATTACCATCAACTAGTTCCCCTGGTCATTTACATCACATATCCAACGTGCATACAACCTGCATACAACGTGTTTCAAGGTGGACTGCATCCTCGCAAAGCAAGCTATTTCTTAACTGAATTAGCATTTTTGAAAACAATTAGACACTCACCGTTTATCGTGGCGAAAACCAAAGCCAAAACAGCACATCTTAATGCTGCCATCTTGTTATTTACTGCACACAGAAGATAAAACAACAACATATATACGTCAGTGTCATCCATGAACATCAGAAATAATTATAGAAAAAAAGAACCTTAACTTGAAAATTCACCTTTGGTTGTTTACCATTTGGCATAGATGAAACGATATTACTGTCAAATGATTTTTAAAACTGGTGTGGAGATTCCAATAGTTAAGTATGCCTGAGTGATGGTCTTATGGTGTTGTTTCACGTAATGGCTGAGTATTAAGGTATCTAAGGCTTCCTCAATGTTACTTGCCGTACACGCCGCAAGATGTCATTGTAACAAGGAATCAGTATATAACACAATTATGGTAAAAGAATACATTTACCACATATTTAATAATAGATTTTAGGACTAAATTATCACGTAAATAATAGACTTAAAATTCAGAATGCTTACCTTTGATGCACGTGGACAACGGTGTTTGTACGGGGGGCAACAGTGGGTTTGTGAGGGAAAGGTGCTGCCGTCTGGTTTTATAGGCTCAGGGGAAAGCTCGCTCGCTACCTCTGCTATCCATTGCTTTTGACAGGTGCGTGTTGTCTCGGACGATGCCATTAATTACATGGACTACGTCACTCATACGTAGAATGTGTTGTCATTGCACTGTCCACTTGTATCGACATCATATGGCCGACATGTGACACGCAAATTGTTTCACAACTTAACGTTATGTTGGAGATCGGCTCTTGCAACGTCCTCCGTATTTTGTGTATTTAGTTATACATTGTATATGGAATGACATGATGGAAAGACATGTATGCCTCCCAGTTTTGGAGATTCTTGTGCATAATTCCAATAGTTCCCTTAATTTGTTAGGGAAGTTATAATAAAATGTTCTCTGTATAGTATTTATACATAGATATGCGGTGTCCATGTGTTACTTGAAATATGAATATTACATTCTGTTGCAAGCGTGACACCGTTTCGACACTATTTGCCTATATTACTACCTCTATAATTCGATCACGATGCAGTAATGACATCTGTACTAATTTTTTCTCGAATGAAACAAACCCTACTTTCAACTATAAAGCAAATATATTGAGATGAATAGTGAATTTAATCAAAAATTTATTTATGAATCTCGACAGATTTTCACCATATATTGCTACTCCTGTTGTTTGATATGCATTTGAGGGGTTCGTCGATACAACATTTTTCTTACTATAGGATACATAACATATTCTTTCTATTCTGGTTTTAATATGTTAACTTTACTTTTCTTTCACTATTTGTTGACGTGATAGAGCCATTCTACCTAATCCCCGAGCTGACACTTCAACCATCACGCCTGTCCGTTCGCCTGATGTCAACATATTTGCGTTTTGACACAATGTACATGCTTTTCAGAAACACTTGTTTCAAATCTAAATTTAAGCCCTTATTGACGTATATAAGTAAGGTTGTCCCGTTCTACAGTATGGCGAGGGTCTGAAAGTAAATTAAATGTCTGTAATTAAATCAGTTGGGGTTTACTTTATACGTGTATTGTAAACTGGCTTTGATTTATAAATTCGTCACATTTTCACAAGATCTAAGGACTCACGTGAATTTTAAAATCAATAATTATACGGCGAAAACAACAACCACAATGAATCTCTGGTAAAATGTGGAGTCCATTATACGATTCCAACTATATCAAAAGCAGGTGTTTATGGATCAATATAAAAAAGCAATCACGTACACACCAACACACAAAACACGGACATATTGAATTAATAGTTTTGATAAACTAATATGCCTTAAGCAATCGAACAGTTAGTTGAATTTAATCTTCATGTCCACGTAATGGAATGACGACAGCCAAAGGCGACGGTCACTCCGTGGAAAGGTTAACAAGGAAAGGTTAACAGCACACGCATACTTATGATGTAAAGCTCACCTATTAACAAAGCTGCAGTGAGGCGCATTAAAATGTTAAAAGTAACAACCCGCTACCCTTAATGTAAAAAAATGATTTCTTTACATTAAGGGTTAATATCGTACATATCTCCCCTTATTGTAAAAAATTCTTAAAAATAAAGTTTGATTGGAAATATAGGGTACTTTTTGATATTTTCACATTTTTTATTGTTTTTGCTCGGTTTCTTATAGTTATTCGTAACAAGCGACAGCGTGAGAAACTGACTTTGCTCAGATCCGATAACAAGAGGGGCTATTATAAGAATGACAGGCTCGTTATTGAGGACATGCAAGCTACTACTCTGGAAGGTGATGGGCAACAGATCGCGACTCAAGTGGAACATCGCCGGCAAGGTCAAAGGTTAACTCAGCCTCAGGGTAATAACGGAGTGACCAGGGCTGTTATAGCCAATCAACAGGCAAAAAGCATATCTTACATAGCATGGAAAATAGAAGATTTAACCAACAAACTTTCCAATATTGGATCTGTTTCTTTTGTATCTGAACATGACATTGTTGCTTTATATTAAACATAGTCAATAGAAATTTACTTTTGTGACATTTTTCCGGAATATAAACTGTTATGTTTACCAGCCACAAAAAGGTCCTAATTCGGGAGGTATTCTGGAGGAATACTGGTTTTGATATAATATTCACTGGTAAGATATGTTGTTCAAGTTCGGAGAAAATGCTATTACTATTCTGTATGTTAAAAGTGTGTTTGGTTTCAGTGGAGATACATTATGTGTAATAACATATATCCAACCGGAGAGATCGACCTGGTATGAAAACAAAGAATGAGTGAATGAGTGAGTTAATATTTAAAGTCACATCGGCAGTATTTCAGCCATATCGTGACGAGAAGTTATACATTTATGATACTAAATATAAAGCTGTCAACGATGGACAGTACAATAACTAGAATATCAGATTTGATTTTAAAACTAGTTGAGAATATTAAAAGTTGGTAAGTGTTAGAAAACAACACAATATAAAAATGGGCTAGAGATCGTCAGTCACTGAAGGGTGATCACCATACTAGGGACCATGGGGACTTTGCTTCCTGCATGGACCCCGGCAGGATTTATATCACCCTGCAGTCACTGGCGATAATTGACCAGTTAAGCCGAAAATTAAAATGACAAAAATATTACGTTTAAAAGTCTGGTATGCATAGAAAATACTTTGAATGACGGTGAACTAACATACCCTCTTAGGGGGACAATAATGTTACGCTACTTCAACCCCCCTCGAGGGTACAGCCACTAACAATCTAAGTTATTTATTCGCGCTACTAATATATAAAAAAATCATGTTTATGTACATCAAAATTTATGTATTAATTCAATTTCCTTTAAAAAGCTGCATTAACATGACTAAAAAGGTCCTTGACTGTTTTTACACAATAATATTTATCCCTTATGATGGAAAAAATCAATGCAGTCAAGAAGGACATGTTTGACCGTGATTTTTTCATCACAAGGGGCACAAAACGAAGGATTCCCACCTTTCAATAAGTATTCATTTGTACATCTACTGTGGCCAATACGACATCGTATAATAATGTCCTCTTCAAATCTGGACGGACAGCCCAAGTAGGTGTAACCGATATTTGGTTTAATTTCATGTAATTTATTGATACCTACTTGGGTGTCCCACTTCTTTTTTCCATCAGATCTCGGATGTAACATCTGATGAGAGGTTTGATATCGGTGTATGGGATACGAATGGGCGTCACAGATTTGTTGAGTGCTGCTTTTGCAGCATCATCGGCCATTGTGTTCCCAGTGATTCCAACATGACTGGGTAACCAACAGAAAACGATGTCGCATTGGCCAGTAGATCATTAAACAATTCAATAATTTCAATTATTAGTGGATGCGTGGATGACATGTTTTTAATAATTTTATCAGATTCTCTTTCTTGCCTCCAGGCTATTAAAACATGATAAAAAAGAGACAAAATGGAGTAGAGATTTTGCTGTATTTTTTATTGAGTATACTGGATGAGTACCAAGCTGTTTCTATAATTGTACTTGGATTTGTTTGTTTGTTGTTTAACGCCGCACTCAGCAATAGTCCAGCTATATGACAGCGATCTGTAAATAATCGAGTCTGGACCAGACAATCCAGTGATTGACATCATGAGCATCGATCCACGGATTTGGGATACGATTATTTGGAATTTAGGTAGTAGTGTGATAGTTTATGTTTAAGCATCGAGTGACATGTTCCCCGATGATGATGAATGTCTCTGTAAAAGAGATGAAAGGTGTCATTATTTAAATGCGTTCAGAAAAAAACCTTAAAGATAACTCATGCCTTATGAAGTATAACAGGGTTTGCAATGGATATAAATAACTATGTGGAATCAAGAAGGACCAGTATGCACAATGTAAAAGGAGTGACCTAGAAAATGCAGCTGCGGGTTAACGTTTTATGGACATGACAAAGCGTGTATCTTGACGACCGCAACGCCCCAACCCTATTGATATACAAGACTTTGGGAACTATTTCTCGTCTGTATTCTGACCAGATGAGTATTCAGGATGATCTTGCTTAGGTGGAGGACATAGTGACATGTCAAGGTTATGTGCAAAAACTGACAACTGACATATTAGATTCACCAATCACCAGATCCGAACTTTTTGAAAGCATCAGTGCAAAGAAAAATAATAAATCTTGACGACATTCTTAGTGAATATCTAAAATATTCGTCCGCTGTTATAATACCTTATTTAAAAATTATATTAAACAGTATTTAATGTCCCTGAATGTTGGGCATAAGAAAGGGGAAGCCTCTGTTCCTAATAATTATAGTACACCTAAGTAAAGTTTTTACAACTATTGTAAATAGAAGACTAGTGTATTCGGCTGCAGCACTTGATAAAATATCTGAATGTCAGACGGGGTTTCATAAAGGTTATTCAACGATTGATAACTGTTTTGTTTTAAACTAAGTCATTCAGCGTAATCTTTCACGTAAATGAGGTAAAGTTTGTGTAGTATTTATTGATTTCTCTAAAGCATTCGACTCCATTCAGCGTCATCTATGGAAGATATTGTACAAGCATGGTTTGAGTGCTAAAAAGGTAAAATGCATGTATTACAATCCATGTACTGTAATGTAAAGGCTTGTGTTCATTCAAACAACAGAGTATTGGTTACTGAAATGGAACAAAGTTGTCGTTTTTGTGTTCAGTTACATCCGAAATGTATTCATATTTTCTATTTCTATTTGCGGAAGACATTATTGTTTTTGGCAATACTGTCAACGACTTACAAATGAAGCTGAATATCTTTACTGTTGTAAATTGGAAATGTCAGTAAATCTATCGAAAACAAAATAGTTGGGTTTTTTTAGAAATGAAGGAGGTTTATCACGTTATGTAAAACGGTATTATGATGGAAATGTTGTTGAATTAGTTACTGGATACAGGTATCCTGGTCTGTATTTTAGCAATAGATTACCGAGGTCGAATGCTTTAAATAACATTCCAATTCAGGCAAGAGAGGTGTTCATGTTCCTGTTAAATAGTACACATTCCTTGAAACCATACTCGCCTCACTTTTACTTCAAATTATTTGATACAACGA